GCGCCGCCGCGCTTCCCAAGCGGCGCACTATCCAGTGCGCCACCGGGCCGGCCCTTCCATGGACTTTTTGATAAACCCTCATATGCGTGACTCTAGATCACCAATGAAACCCCTCTGGGCCTCAATCTCCAAATCTACACAATAGGAAAAATTATTTTGGCCTTACACAGGGTGGCTATGAAGTCTAAGTGAAATAATGTATATGATGTGATAGATTAAGCCCAGAAGCAAAGTTCTGAGGAAGCAGGAGCCCAATATGTACCCAGGAGCAGAGTTAGGACACTCTTCCTGCCTTTCTAAGACTATTTTTACTACTATTTACTACTTTCTATTTCATAATCCCATTCAAACAAAGTAGACACAAAGATGTAAGTCCCCAAGGGGGATTAAGCTAGCAATTACATGGCTAGTAGCCAAAATACCATAGGATCTGCCAGGGTTTCCTCAGTTTAGAATAGGGCTCAATTTGAAAATTCTACTGATATTTCTACGGTTCCATAAAATAGGTGCTACGATAACTCAAAGGGAGGAGAGCATTTAAAGTATGGGCCTACACAAGAATTAGTACCCACAGTCTGAAGTCTAATTGCCACAAGATCCATATACGTGTTATATGCTATAAATATATTCCTCTTTTTAAAATAAAGGCAACATTCCCATACTGGCCAGCCACCTAAATAAATAAATAAATGAGTAAATAAAGTAAAGGCAATGGATCCCCTTAACGGCCCAGCTGCCAAGAAAAAAAAAAAAAAAAGTAAAGGCAAAATAAAATTGTATTTTTATCTTAGAGCACGCCAGAATAAAAATACAAAGTTCTTTATCTACAAAACTCTATCAATACTCTTCACCACAAAATGTCACTATTGGCCAGGAGCTGTATTACAAAATGCTTTTTATTCTTATGATCAGTGTCTTACCTTAATATCTTTTAGAGAGACAAAATTCTCAATACCTAATTCAATCATATCCAGCACATGGTAGTCATACATACGACCTAGGAGGAAAATGTATTTTTAAGCATGTATTTTTTCCCAAACAGCCAGCTTATATGTACCCACTTCTCTGCATATTCAAAATGTCCTATTATCTACCTATTTTCTTTTCTGCCTATATCCTCCCCCTCAAAAAACATGTCCACTGTTTCTTATATTTTCAAATCTAAAAGTGATTGCTAGAATATTAGTCATGGAAAGCATCTTAGAGATCTTTTATCTCAACTCCTTTATTTTATAGAAGAATTAATGAAGGCCCATAGAGGGTAAAGGGCTTGCCTAAGCCAGTGAGCATGCCAGAGCAAATCTCAATACACTGAGGCAAAGGATCTTCTTCAAATGTATTTATTCGACAGATATTAATTAAGGAAGGGTTTATTTATGTAGGTAGATATGCTACTTTGTTTTTTTCTAATTCAAATACTGATTTAGTACATATATATATTTCCTATTAGAAAAATATTTACAACTTGAGATAGGGTAATTTTTTTTTCTCAATTCCAGTGGATCCATGATAGGTGGGAGCTCAGTGACACTCAATACAAGTACAAGGTAACCGTATTACATCTAAAAGTGAGTAAGTGGGGATGCTGAGAGTCCCAAGAGGCCACACTTCCTGAACTTGTTTCCAAGAGAGATAGAAGGCAATGGCATTCTAAGAAACATTAATAATTGAGGAACCCCTTCCCGTTCCTTCTTTCTTATGTTACTTCCCTGTATTGGTAGGGTAATATTTATATGTCCCATTCATTACCAGGAGACTGGTAGATAAAAATAATTTTATTCAATGTCACAAAGTCAAAAAAGAAAACAAAAGACTAGTTAAGAGCTTACTGGTTACTCCTGAATCCTCAATACTATCAGTTAATCTGAGCCACAGGGCTGACTCTACAAATAGACATTAAAAAGTAAATGAAACTTACCTATTACCAGATTATTTGGCCGCTTCTTATTATGGGAGCCAAACATGAATAAAGAACAATCTGACTTCTTTGAAAAAAATTCCTATAAAACCAAAGAAATCCCATTCAGTCAATGCATAAATGTAAGAACCTTAAGAATCTTAAAAGAAAAACAAGTACGTCAGTAGTGGAATTTATTGAAGACTTAATGAACTACATTGGAATATACAGAGGAAAAGTATTTTATTTCTAGCTTTTTACTTCAAATTTTCTGATTTGGGGTACCTGAGGAAATGATCTACATTTCAAAACTAAAAATGTATGACAACTACTAGGTTAATAAGTAAAATGAGACCATTTGTTTTCAGTTATGCAGTCATTTTGGAACAGCATGCCAAGTGTTTCAGTTGCCAAATCCCTTAACTCAAAGGACATTGTTACTATTATCAATGCCACATCTTAGCATACATTTAAAACATACATGATTATATAGAGCACCTACATGAATTTATCAGTATGGTGTTTTGGATGTTTATAATTGGATTCAAGAGTTTACAATGTGTACTATATCTGCAAAAAGCAAGATAGTAAATATTTTAGGCTTTTTATGTNCTTAATGAACTACATTGGAATATACAGAGGAAAAGTATTTTATTTCTAGCTTTTTACTTCAAATTTTCTGATTTGGGGTACCTGAGGAAATGATCTACATTTCAAAACTAAAAATGTATGACAACTACTAGGTTAATAAGTAAAATGAGACCATTTGTTTTCAGTTATGCAGTCATTTTGGAACAGCATGCCAAGTGTTTCAGTTGCCAAATCCCTTAACTCAAAGGACATTGTTACTATTATCAATGCCACATCTTAGCATACATTTAAAACATAGATGATTGTATAGAGCACCTACATGAATTTATCAGTATGGTGTTTTGGATGTTTATAATTGGATTCAAGAGTTTACAATGTGTACTATATCTGCAAAAAGCAAGATAGTAAATATTTTAGGCTTTTTATGTCCTTTTTTTTCCCCTCACAACTCTGTAAAAATGTAAAAACCATTCTTAGCTCATGGGGCTCACACAAGCAAGAATTTGGTCCACAGAAAGTATAATCTTATTTTTACCAGCCCCTGTTCTAAAGTACCAAAGCACATTTCCAAGATTGTAGTGAAGGAAATGTGTGATAGAGGACAGTCAGGAGGAGCAAATCAACCACATTTCCAATACAACTACTCTTTCCATAGCCATTTTGAGCTCTGGAGGTCTGAGATTTATTACGGTCAATGAAATATATCCATGTCTGGAGGAAAGAGATCAAAGAGAGGGAATGTCACAACTTCAAGAGTAAGAAAAGCTGTCATATCAACACTGGACTGAAAAAGAAGTAGAGTGCTACCAATTTCAAAGCATAAAACTGCTACAAAGTGGTCATCCAAATAAAAGCATTATGGTGTCACAAAACAAAACTAGCCCTTGAATAAGCAGTGTATGAATGAGATCAAATTCTGAGATAAATCCTATATTGTTACTTTCATGGTCTCTTCAACAAATGACTGAAAAACATGAGACAAATGAAACTAATTTGTAAAAAACAACAAAATTTATTTTGCTGATATTTTTAATATATTTTCACTGCAATTAGTTACTGCATTAGGATAAGATGTTCAATTTTAGTCTAATCATTAAGATTCTATTCAAAAGTTTTCTTTTAAATTAACTAACTTAAGAAAAAATAAATAATGGATTCCTGTTAAGAAAACATAATCACACTCTTATTTTTTAAGTCAATTTAAATAGTTTAAATCACTTGTTCCCTTAAGATTTTTCTTAAGAAACCAAAATCATCACATACTCAAAGTCCAGTTAGCTATATTACCATTAGCTACATTATCTTTTATCTTCTGATTCCATCCACTAGACTTTTTCATTTAGTTGCAGTTGACAATACACTCGAACAGGAATATAATTAACTCTAGGAAAGCCACTGACAACTGTTAGCAATAATTCAGGTAGTGTTCCTTGTTCTAAAAATACCCAAAAACAAGTTAGATTTTTAAAACTCAAAGGCTTTATAAAAATAGATCTATAACAAGCATTTTTTGACAATTTACAATAAATTATGCAGTTAAAATGTAATTCAATTTTTAAAAATTCTATCAATATACTTGCAAGCAATGAATAATACATTTATTAGCCATAGTGAAATGTAAGATCTATAGGTATATTTTTGAAAGCATAAAGGTCTTATTTCCCCTCCATTTTACACTAAAATTCTCTCATATGAAGATTTCTAATTCCAAAAATCACATATCAGGAGCATAACAACATGAATTAGTTTGAATGATCACTTATATGCTCTCTTGAATCAGAGGATTCTTATACTTACCAGCGATGTCTGATCCTCAAATGGTCTCGTAATATTTTTCCTAAGAATATTAAAAAAGTGACCCCAATTTTAATAATTTCAATAAGTAAATTCAATTAAGTAATATATTAAGTAAAGTATAATTTTATATTCAATGATTTAAAAACCCTGAATGGATATTCATTCATTCAGATATTTATTTAGTGCCTATTAGAGGCATTATTCTAGAAGCTAGGGATACTAAAATACTATGTCAAACAAGATGTTTACTTTCATGGAGCATAAATTCTAGTGGAAAAATGAATAATTTCAAAAAGTATTCACAGCTGTGACAAAAAAGAAATAGGATATTGCATCAGTGTAGAGTGAAAAATGACTATTTGAGCTGAGACCTGATTAACGAGCTAGTCATGGAAAAGTTTTGAAGTTAGGAGGGAACAGAATGAGCAAAGATTCTGAGAGAAATAAGCTCAGACTATTCTAGAAACAAAAAGAAGGCAAGTGTCCTGGAGCTTAGTGAGTAAAGGGGATAATGGTGGGGTATGAGTTCAAAGATGTAGACACAGCCCAGGTTATGTAAGGCCTTATTGGTCAAGGTAAGGAATGCAGATAACATATCAGAAGAGTAACGGGAAACATTGGAGGGTTTTAGGCAGGAAAGTGATGTGACAGATTTAAATTTTCCTTTTAAAGGATCTCTCTGTCTGCTATGTGAGAATGGGCTGTACTCCAGCAAGAGTGAAAGGACCCAGTAAGGAGCTATCACAGTACTCCAGGAGAGGAAGAAAAAAATAATGTATTGGACCAGGAATAGTAGAGGTGGAGCTGAAGTAGTGGGCAGAGAAATGTAGAACATGCTATCTTTCATACAAAAAGGGGGAGAAATAAGAAAATATATATTTATTTGCTTAAATATGCCTAAAGAAATTCTGATGGGATATATAAGAAACTAATAACAGTGGTTATTCCAGAAAGAGTATGTGTGTTTATATTTTCACTGTATTCCTGATTTTTAATCATGTAAATAAAGTATTTATGGAATGGTTCGTAATTTTTAAGAATTTAAAGAGAAACAAAATCACATATGATCTCAATTTTATTTAAAAGAATAAAATAATGTATAGTCATAGAAAATATACTGGGAAAATATATGTCAAAATGTTCACATTGCTTATCTATCTAAATAACCTAAGGGTGACTATTTACTCCTTTAAGCATTATGGCAATTATCTAAGATACATATCAGGGACTGGCCAGATAGCTCACTTGGGAGAGCATGGTGCTGGTAACAACAATGTCAAGGGTTCTGATCCCCTCACAAGCCCCCCACCAAAAAAAAAAAAAAAAAAAGATACAAATGTATTACTTCTATAATCAGTTAAAAAAAAAAAAAAGTGTTTTAAAAAATCTGTACAAAGGCGAACAAGCCAGGAAAAAGTATTGCAGCATTTATGATCAATAGCTAACAGCAATTCACAAATAAGGAAAGATGAGCTGCTGAAAACTAGAAAATGCAAGTTAAACAAAATATGTTTTCACTTCTTAATTTTAAAAAATAAACCTAAAGTAGGTAAAACCCATGAAATGTATATTGCTTTCTGCCAAAAAGACAAACTTTTCAAAGTGCAATATTGTTAATATACTATATTGGGCATAAAGCTGTACCCAATAAACCCACTTTTAGGAATTTCATGTAGAAAATAATTTAAAAGGATATCTCATTTGTGTAAAAATGGCCATTTTAGCATTATTTATAAAAACAAAAAAGTGAAAAACCTAATTTCCCCCAAATTAAGGAGTAGTTAAGTAAATTTTAGTATAACTGTTTAATATAAATTATACTGGCATTAAAAAAAAAACTACTTTGGTGCAGCCATTATGGATAACAACATTTCCTAAAGAAATTAAAAACAGAACTACCATATGACCCAGTATACCCTCTTCTGTGTATATACCCTAAAGAAATGAAATCAATACCTCATAAAAATATCTGCACTCCCATGTTAATTGCAGCATTATTCACAACAGCCAACATATGGAAGCCCTAAGTGTCCATCAATAGACGAATGGATAAAGAAACTGTGGTGTGTATATATAACACACACACACACACACACACACTGCAGTATTATTCAGCCTTTAAAAAAGGAGGAGATCCTGCCATCTGCCACAACATGGATTGATCTGGAGGACATTATGCTAAGTGACATAAGTCAGACACAGAAAAAAAATACTGCATGATCTCACTTATATGTGGAATCTTTAAAAAAAAAAGTCAAATATATAGATAGAGAATAAAACAGTAGCTAACAGGGTCAGGAGGGTTAGGAAACGGGGAGATATAGGTCAGAGTGTACAAAGCAACAAATATGTAGGATGAACAAATACAAAGACCTAATGCACAACATGAAGACTACAGTTAATAATAGTGTAATACCGTATTCAGGACTTTTTCTAAATAAGTAGGTTATAGTTTACTTGACATGGGGGGAAAATGGGTAACTGTGTAAGATGATGGATATGTTAATTTGTTCAACTACAGTAACCATTTTACTATGTATGCATCTTGTAACATCATGTTGTATGCTTAAAATATATGCAATAAAATTTATTTTTATTTTTTATTTATTTATTTATTTATTTTTTGTCTTTTTTCCGTGTCCGGCAACGGATCGCAACCCTCAGTGTTGCCCCCGTACCGGACCGGGGACCGGCAACGGGATTGCAACCCTCGGTGTTGCTCCCATGCCTCGCTCAGCCAGTGAGCGGGAACCGGTCTGTATGTGGGATCCAAACCCTCGGGGGGAGCGCCGCCGCACTCCCAAGCGGCGCACTTATCCAGTGCGCCACCGGGCCGGCCCTATTTTTATTTTTCAGATAATTTATTATAAATGCA